TGTTTGCGATTGTGATGTGAAGTGGTGCGGATTCCGTTCTTGGTTTTCCGACAAAGATTGAATTTTTTTTTTTTTTTTGTGCATGATGGGTTTTAGCGATCACGTAATACTGGGTTCCGTTTTTCAGGAAGGATTGTCATAATATTTTTTGAAATTTCAATTAATGTATTCGTTTTCAATTTGCGATCATCGCATGATATTGATTGTCAGGGCTCTGCGGATAGCAAAATTAGCGCAGAAAACACAACGAGGGGGGCGTGGTTTGCCGAAGATAACCCCGTAGTATCGTATATAATATCATAATAACCATGCGCCATATCCGAAAATTTCGTCCTCAGCGTACTTTGCTGAACGTTCGTCAAGTCGAACCACTGCTTACGAATTTGCGAGCGCTTCCGCGCCCGACCCTCCCCAATCCCTGCGATTCTTATTACTTTTAAAATACGAAGACCCGAGCTGAATCCAAAAACGACGACAATCCTATATTTCGTGCGCACAACCTCCTCTAATATTTTTAAGATACGAAGACCCGAAACGAATCCAAAAATCACGTCAGTTCATATTTCGCATTCAAGACTCCCCGACCCTTGTAACTTCGAAGCGAAATCAAAAATAACGAAGGTTCTTTTCTTTACGATCACGACCCTCCCCAATCCCTGCGATTCTTATTACTTTTAAAATGCGAAGACCCGAAATGAATCCAAAAACGACGACAATTCTATATTTCGTGAGCACAATCTCCTCTAATATTTTTAAGATATGAAGATCCGAAACGAATCTAAAAATCATAATTATCCTACATTTCGCGGCCACGATCCTCTCAAATAATATCATTCCCATTTTTTACTTGCGTCTATTAACTCCTATATTTCATAAATGATTTTTCGTCTTTCCGGCAAATCCTACGCTCGCTAGAAATTTACGAACAACAGCGACTACAATTATAACGACCTCTCCCCGACCCCTCGACCCGCTGAACCCCAACCTTAAACGAGAACCCTTCTGCTACGCATTCGAGAATATATAAAATTATACTCAATAATCTAAACCTTCAATTGAATGAATCAAATTCCGAAATAACATATAAGTTTTATCAATAGAAATATAAAAATCTCAATATAAAAATCCGATAATGAATAAGAAATATAATATTATTCAATGTGATTCGGAACTTCATCTCGAATAAATACTAGAGTGGACCCGCTGCTTCCAGCAGCGGAGAGTGTTCTGCCGCGCGGAGAATGTTCTGCCGCTGCCGCTGCCGCTGCCGCGGCCGCAGCTGCAACCGCAACCCAGCCGCAGCCGCAGCCGCTGCGTTGCCGCTGCTGCTGTCGCTGCCGCTGCCGCCGCGGCCGCTGCCGCCGCTACTGCTGCTGCTGCTACGCTGCTGCTGCTGCGGCTACGCTGCTGCTGCTGCTGCTGCTATGCCGCTGCTATGCTGCTGCAATGCCGCTGCCGCTGCCGCTGCCGCTGCCGAGGCCCAGCTCTTTTCTGATTAGGATTCTCCACCCTGCTGCGGGGTCCCGGGGCGCGACCAAAAATCTCGCAGATTTTTGATCGCGTCCTCCCGACCAAAAAATCTCGAAGATTTTCGGGTTGCTAGCTTTTGCCAGAGACCCTAAAATTCCCGAGATTTTAGGGTCGCTAGAAGGCCCGCAGGAGGCAATTTAAAGGTGAGGCGGAAAAGCTACGCCGCGCGCGCGACAGACGCCCGCAAGTGGCCGCGCCGTAATATTGAGATATATTAATCATTATCAAATATTGATAAGTAAACTGTCATTAGAATATATTTCTGATCAGAATAGGATATACAAATCTCATTGGTATATATTTCTGATCAGAATACGGACGAACTACGTATAATTTTTATCCATGACGATCTTAATAATTTTCCAATTCCATTTTTTAGTACGTCGCCAGGCTTTGCAGGCCGTACCATTTTGGATGAGCACGTCCACTTGCAAACCCCAAATTGTGTGGCTGGAATACAAAACATTAGAAACTGCATGATTGAGAGAACAACTTGCTTCGCTAAAGCATGGGTTGGCCATGGATGGGTACGCTCTCAGCACATGGATTTCTAATTTGGGAACATGTTTCAGCTTAATCAGCCTTTAATTCGTTTGGAGGTTCAACTATGTTGTTGCATGGCATCCGCAGGGTGAAACGTCAGCATCCGCTGACTTTGTGCATGTTTTCTCAATGCGGTCGTTCCTAAACCATGTCCGCGCCTCAATGGCCCAAAAGGGCTTCCACTTTCAAAGGGCATTTTTTGCACTCGTAGCGGAAGCACCAATAATTCCTCAGGAATTCGATTAAGGTTGAGAGCTTTGAAGTTGAGCTTGGTGGACCAGAGTTAAAATAGTTGCTTTCATCGAGCCCATTTGGCATCATGTCAAGAGTCTTTGCCTGTAACAACTGTCGGCTATTGTAACAACGTGTAATCCAAAACGCCCATGCCAAGATCACGTTCGTACCTAGGACTTTGTCAAAAGTTCACGTGAAATCCTCAATCACGGCCTTCATAATTTATCATGCTCATGGACCGCAAGAATTCCCAAGGATGAGCTCATTGGAGATGCACGCGCGTGGTAGCCTTCATATACTTATAGACTTTAAAATGCGCCTAAAGCTCAATCAAGATTCCACAGCCCGAGAGTGCGACCTTTCGCACAGCGCTTGCCGCAGGGGCCTTTGGATGAAGGCAGCTCAAGACCGCGCAAAAAATCAGACACCAACAAATCCTGGACTCACTCTTAAACAGCTAAAAGTGGCAAAATTTGAAAGACGAGGCACAGAATACAGGGCTGATGGATGGCAAGTTCCAGTTTGAATGGAATTTCTTTCCCAGCACGACCGGGCGCTTTCCCTTTGGATGTTCCAGCTTAACATTTAATGCCGACGTGAGCTTTGCGGGCTCCTTTGACACACAGGCCTTTCACAAAAAACCAGCTGTCTGAAAGTCTTATTCGGTTAGAAGTTTTGTTGACTGTCCATCCCCCGAGAGGACGCTCTACATGAACACTGATGAAAACAAGATGCAAACCCGTCTCAAATAAATCTATAATCAAATGTCGATTCTACACCTCATGTTTGGAGTTGGCCTTTCTGGAAATACCCAAAGAACCACACCACCCTAAAGCCATGATGTGTTTTCCGTGAAGGACCTTGGCCCCTGCAGCATCGGTCTCCTCAAGTGCTGCTGGCTTGTTGTCCTTGCTCCCCTTGATCACTGCTGACTGCACCTTCGTGTCCTCGTATGTTTACCGCTGTGGTGGTAGTCATAATCATCGTAATAGGAGAAAAAGTAGGGAGGTCAAAAACTTTGCTTTGCCCAACACGTCCTTTTTTGTGCAGTAAAATTGTGGCCATGAATAGCTCCAAACCTTAAACCCGAACAAATCCCACAATCCTACACCTGGATAAGCTCAAATTGTAAACATCATCGAATCTTAAACCCTGAACGCAAAGTTTCTGGATCCTTGAAATGCAGCATTAATCAAAGCTTTTAACAGCTGCGAGAACAACTAGTTGCATGTCACATGTCAACTTACACTCTGAACCTGAAAGAGCACAAACCCTTAACCCAAAGAAGCACCCAAGAAACTCAAAACCTCAAAAGGGTGTTGTGGGCTGGATCCATTTAAAGTGTTGAAGCAATAGTAGCAGCGATGCTAGTGGTACAAACGCCAGCACCAGCACCAGCAGCAGTGGCAGTGGCAGTAGCAGCCGCCATAGCAATAGCCGTATCTGTGGAGTAGCTGTAGCAACTCCAGTTCTTGATGTATGTAATCGTCGCAATAGAAGCAAGGAGGTCATTGCTCTTATCGATTTGACTTCTCCATGTCCTTGTCTACCCATTGTGGTGCTGCAAAAGTAGCGTCAAACTCAGCTTCCGCCGATGCGTTGTTGCTCTTTGCATTGGTTGATCCCAGCTTCAATGTCAAACGCTTCGGCACGACAGCTTTCGTCTTCTCAAGGGCAACCTCAGCTGCCTTGTTGTCCCCTTTGGCTGCTGCTTCCTCCGCCTTCTCCAATGCTGCCTTCCTTGCCTTCTCTTCCCCCTCGTGCTTGTCATCCTCGATGCTGGTGAAAGCTGCCAAGTCTACGGCCTGCTTGTCAGTGGACCAGTACTTGTTCTTGTGCACGTAAAGGTAACCAATGGATGGGTCGTTCTTGCAGCGGGACAAACTTTCCAGGGCACCGAGCTTTTTCATGCCGGAAATCTCCTGGAAGAACAATGGGAAGATAATCAGAATTATCTTCTCGCTCTTTACGAGACCAAAAACTCTTCGAATACGAGCTATCTTGAACACTAAATCTTATAACCTTGATCAACATTTTCAATTCTGACTCAGACTCCATGACCGTCTCACTGCCGATCACGACTCCCAGAGGTTTGAGTTTGATCTCCTGTGGATTTCGCAAAATCAGGTATGTAAGGGAAAGCTTTGCAATATAGGGAATGGGGATTACGCGAGGACTGGGGTGCAGCTATGAAGGATTTACGGGTGCAATTTCGAGAAAACGACCCTCCTTGTCGTGGAGGAGCGGCTGGAGGTCGCCAGAATTGATCCTAACCCAATTTCTGGGGTCAAGATCTGGGGAATTGTTTTCAACATTTTCTATGGTGTACGTAGATTTAGATTTTTTTGTAGACTGTCTTGTAGGGGTGCTGACACATTTAACTTCAAAAAAGTGCTTGGGGGGAGACGTAGAATCTGATTCTGGCCCTCGTAGCATTTCAGAATCGGGCCCTCAGAGAGGTGGACCAAGGATCCAAGGTTTTGCTGCATGATTTGCAAAGCCACTCCGTAGGTCGCGATGAGCCCCTTCCTGAAACAAATGATGTTCTTTCCGGCGGTTGAACCAAGACATACCCAGACCATATTCTTCTGAAACAACACTACACCACACACAGAAGGATGAAGTCACGTTACTCCATAATTTGGGATCACACTTACCCTTACTTGACAGACTACTCTACTGAAATGACAAAATTTTGGAGTTCCAGTTGGAGATTTACATTTTGAAGCGGGGTGCGGGGTGGTCTGTCTGTCTACTACCCTGTCCCGAACTCCAGGAGCAAATGCCACCGTGTCATGTGAAGCAATGGGAGTTCAAGAGAGGTGACCCATGAACCCTTTGAGTTTCATGTCGTCCTCCGGAATGACGTCATCATAACCTCCATGGGGCTTAAATCATCCTTTGCAACCTCAAGCTTTCCAGCGCCATAATGCAATTCTTGGATAACACACAAGAAAATCAAGGCCTACAAGGCTCGTCATGCCCACCACGTCGTCCTTGCAGACTTGGGCAGGCACACAATTGGCAGCATACTCGTTGTCGGCAAACCTTGACTCGCAAACAAAACTGCAACTTGGTGAACAGCAAGTAAGCTATATGGCTACAAGGGCCATGAACGACTAAACGAAATATACAACCCCAAGTGTTTCATCTAGCTCCAAAGGCACTCCGTGTTTGAAAAGATAGCAACGTAGCTGCAGTCTGCCTCGGCCTTGCCATCCCAGTCAGCCTTTGTGACTGGGGTGCAGTCTGAGGACTTGAACACAGTCTTTGCTATCTCCGCAGTGGAGCCATAGAGCGCATTGCTATTGATGGAGGTCTGCACCTGAAAGCTTCCAAGAAGTGAGCCAACATGACCCTTAAAAGGAAGGCTTTAATAATTCTGCGTCTGCCACAAAAATTCTCTGCAGCAATCCCTGCAGATCAGCTTCAACATAACCGCCCCTTTCCTGACTTCTAAACCATCAAGATCCTTAACAATGCCCTCAATACCTTAAAGACTCCAGCTCCCCTAGACATCAAAGGCTCCAAACCGCATAAACCCTAAACCTTTTGAGCAACCCTGCATCTACGGCTCTCCCAATGTGTTGGTCGCAGCAGGCGCCCAGCAGCTGAAGTTTTCCCAGGGCGGGCGAGGTGTCCTGCAGACTCTTCCTGCCAGGTCGCTTGGGTTTCGAGTGAATTGTTAGGGGCTGAAGTATTAAGCATGGGTTTAGGGTTTGGGATCTAGGGTTCATTCTGGCTAGTGTTTGTTTGGGCTGGGGCGAAAGCTAGAACGACCTAATCCAGAGAATACATGGAATTTTTCCAGTGAAGAGAAATTACTTCTGCAGCCGTTTAGAAGTAAATGTTTAATACCACAGGGCAATTTAGCTTGCTCAGAAACATGAAAAGCATCTACAATTTAACGACCCAGCTTCAGGTGGTCTGTGAGGGAGTTCCTGCCAACCTCTGCTGAAGCAAAGGTGACAGAGATACCTGTGCAATTGTCGCGATGTTGTTGCAAAGCGGCCTTTCATGTTTTGTTTTCAGTTTAAGTTGCACCTAAACTCCAAGACTCAAAGTGAAAGCCCCGAGCCCAAGAACGCAACTGCGCGTAAAGCCTCCACCAAAAGCCTTGTAAACCGTGGCTCAAGTATGATCCAGCCACGTGCCCAGGCATAGGCTCGTGCCACGAAGGCCAGGCATAAAACATGGGAGAGGGACATGCTACAGTAGGAAGACTCTTAACGAGGCATGGGTGCAATCTATGACATTGCAATATTGTTAGATGACAAACCTGAAATGATGGCAGTTTGAAACTATTGGACTTCATAACGCCCATTCGCATGAGGCCAGAACCCTCGATCCAAAAGGCCTATGGGTTTCTGGTAATCAATTGGAAATGTTTCCAGGCAACATGCCGGCTCTGGGGTCCCAGAATCAACAACCACTCCAAGTCAAGGGTTAGGATTTGGATCGTGGGGTAGGATTTGGTGATATTGGTGTGTGCCGACTGAAAGTCTGCCCTCACATACCTGGGACTCCGAGTGAGCCTCTCTTGAAGGAATTCTTATACATGCTTAGGACGCTTGGAATATCCATTCGATGATTGAGAAATCAGACGAATCTTGTTTGCGTTTGGATACTCAGATTACTGCGCTTGGAGCTGTGCTACGGGTGCTCAAGTGATGCTTCGTTCCATCCTGACAACGTGCAGAAGGTTTGAGGCTTGGAGAGTCACGCCACTTCCACAATGTATGAAAAAGGATGAAAACGTTTGCAAAATGATTCGCAAGTGTTTAATTTGGTTTCGCATTGCAAAGGCTATCTCGGAGCACAGATGCTGATATGGAACAGGATCAATGCTCCTCAGTCCATGAGGGGCTGTCCGCCCTTGCTCACATGGCCCTGCCAATTTCCGGACTAAAGCGCATTTTCACAAAATTTAGGATCCTGGGCCTAGACGGCAAAACCTCACAACACCCAAAAGATACACGCAAATCAACTCAATCCCTCTACTGAAGCCTTCAATAGGAGACAATCATGCATGGCCATATGGCTGTCGCAAGAAAGCTGTATATAGTGTAAGCTTATAAAAATACAAATAGAACATGGGAGATAATATTCCCCATTCCTAGGTCTCAAGCATGTCTCTTAGGTTGCATAGGGAAAATTGAATGTTCAGGTTGAGGCTCTTTAATACCAGGCGAATTCATGGCTTTTATTCAAACTTTTGATTTGGTAGCTGCTACCACTTCTCCAGTTTCTGGCTTACGTGGTGGTCAACCTCTGCGACCCAAAGCGTGGAGAGACATGTGAAACAAACATTTTTGGCACTTGAAGGCTTGTCGGTTCAAGTCTGGGGCTGGAAGCACGGGTCCCTAGAGTGCGCCTTCGTTTTTGGACTTTCAACACACCACAGATCTTCCCGCTTGTATGATCCCCGCGAAGCCCACACAGAAGCCAAATCATGTCCTCGCCAGATCCCCAACTGCTGAACGGCGAAAGCAATCCATACCTCCAACCCCAGATTCGAGTGAAACATCGGAGCGCCCCGTCGTCCTCCCAGCAATGGGAATATCGGTTTGGGAATTTAAGGTAGACCCAAAGATTTGAAGACTCCCTTTCGGGTTCATATAACACTAGAGGGACAACATCGCAAGATGCAGGGCTAGTTGCTAATTCCCTGCACGACTTCCTAACCCACAATTTGTAGACAGGATCGTCCACATTGAGGCCTTGGGTTTGAGCATTGCAGCCTACTGTGGTCCACGTCTTAGGTGCCCAGGCAAGAATTCACCTGGAATATGAGTGAATACTTTGACATTCTCTTCCTTGAAAGTTTGGAGGATCTGGGAAGGTCTAGGGCGCAGGATTCAACTGATACTGCTGAGAAAAAAGGCAGATGGCCACTTGCAACAGCTATTGTTGAAAGCCTTCAAGGTATACGCAGCCTTTGGACATTCCTTGGAAAATCCCTCAGTGCTGTACTTTTTCTCTATGCCGCAGCGATCCTTGGTGGCCAAAATTCAGATTCCACCAATCGTCCGAGAATCGCTTAGATCCCAAGATCCCCAAGTCCAAAGACACCCTGAACCCTCAATCAACCTTCAGATCCCACCTTTTGATTTGCTCGGTGCTAGGTGAAAATCAGGTGATTAAGGAGGTCAAGAATCTCCAAATGTCATTTGCTGTATGTACTTCCCTCGGTCTAAACCGTTGTACACTTAACCCCAAGCCCTTCTCCCAAAATTCAAAACTTAAGTCCTCCTTTCGAGGACTCGTCACCGTAGCTGCGTCGAAGCTGTCGCTCGCCCCGGAGGTGGTCGATTCAAACTTGCCTCGTGCGGTCAACATTTTCGGTTTTGGGCTCAGACTTGCCGAGGGCATTCAGATGCAGAAAAGGGAGAGCTTGAGGGGTGAGGTTTTGTTGAGGGTCTGGTTACAGGTTGCGTGCAGTGATAGGTGTCAGGCTTTGCTCGTTGAGTTTGGGGATCCGGGTTCTTCGGAGTTTGACAGTTTAGGCGCTGTTCTGGACAGTTTTTGAATCTTGTAGGATCCAGCGTTTCGTTTCACAGGTTGGGGTGTAGGGATTGGGGCTTCAGGGCGCGCCGGTGCAGGAGCTTTAGATCCACGAGAAGAGTCCTGGACACTTCAAGTTTAAGGGTGTAGAGCATTTGGATTCAGCCTGTGGAGGAGCCCTGGGGAAACTTCAAAATTTTGGATCGGTGCCTCTGGTCCCCATACAATGGGCAGTCGACATACACATTTATATATATATATATGTACACATACAGTTTCACCAATGTTCCCAATGTTCCTAAGACGCCTAACCTATTCCATACGCAGTGACCTGCAAAGGAACCTGGACTTTGACCCTAGACCCCCGGCTCTTCCCTGGCAAACGCCTCATGCTTCAGGTGCAGCAGCTTCTGACTCTGTTTGGAGCAGGCTTCAACTTGTCGTCGGGAGAAACCAAGGTAGCCCCCTTAACAAAAAAAAAAAGGGAACTGCTATCTGGTAAGAGGGGGGATGTTACACAATTACTTTGGATGCCCTGCTGCACGCAGATCCCGGAAAGTCTCTTCCAGTACGAGTCCTGCAGTTGGCTACACCTTTTCATGCAGGTTTAATCTGCCCCCCGCCTATGGGCCAACCAGTGGAAGAGAAAAAACGTGTTTTTTCTAAGCAAGAAATTACAAGACAGCGCACCCAGACCCTAGGCGCGACTCTACATGTCACTATACAGCATCCTCTAGAATCCCATCTGGTACTATTCAATCTGTGTATAACCCTCGGAAATCCACATATGATGACCGTGCAGAACGGATCCTTGTCCAATCCCAAGAAACATTTGCGTAACCCAACATAGCCACTATTCATTCTGACGTAATCATGCTACACCCTGACCAGTCAAACGCACTCCGAACAATTAAATGCTGTTCTGTGGCCTTGCTCTCTAGGCCCCATACCTTGCTGGAACTCTAGGAGCAGACGTTTGCCTTACATACTCGCTTCAGCTTCTACCCATGCATGCATACCATACACAATTCCCGCTGAAATTTCTTGATCACTAGTTCCTGCATCACCACCATGAAGCTCCACAATGACTTAGAGCCTACAACCTTTAAAGCTTTGCTACTATTCCCGAGGTGTGCCAATGGATCTGAGAGCCGTTGATGCCGTACGAAATCAACGACATCCCTGTGAACCGGAAACCTCAAAACTTGAAACCCTGGTACACCGATGCAAAGCCTTGAAAACCTACAACCTAAGATCTCAACGTCCGACCTAACCTTAACCCTGAGCCGTTCTGACCCACCTGGGCACGATTGTACAAGTCGTCCAGGTCGGGATCCAGGTGTTTGACCTACTTAAGGTCAGGCTGTCCTTGCTTGCATTGTTGCACTTGCTTTGTCTGTTTCATTTCCGAGCCGCTTTCCTGAGCATACTTTGTGGAGCTCCGGAAGTTGTATAGTCATGATCATGTAGGCCTTCCTGCTCTTGCATGAGCTCCCCCTGCTCCTTCCCATATTGGAACAACAACAAACATGATGACGAGTACATGCTGCTGCTACTGCTACAGCTACTGCAAAGGCTACGGCTACTACTACTACTGGTAATGGTAGTTGTCCTCATTGTAAGTGGTGTTGGTGTCCGTGTTGGTGGTCGTAGTAGCAGTAGTAGTAGCAATACAACTGCAACTACTCTTACTACTACTAACAGTTTAATGACAATTTCCGCTGCTGCTGGCGCCGCCGCTGCCTGTGGTAGTGGAACAAGGCAGTATTGTTCGGCACTAAAATTGAGTTGGCGAGAGTCCTTGAGGTTTGGGAGATTACTTGAATTAAGCCTTGGGCTGATCTTGATTTATCCAATGATTGTGTCCATCTTTCAATTCTGCGCTTGGAGCAGCAAGGCAATCGTGTTCTCTTGAAAAACCCAAGTAGCTAAGCATCTGAAGCGCGAATGGCTAGGGATTCAGGAATAATTAGAGGGAATGATTCACGTGGCCCATGACAGTTATACTACCGTGTGCAGGAACTGCTCCGCTCAGGAACAGTCATGCAAGCATGCATTCCGGTGTAGCATCGCCAAAAGTCTAGTTGGGGGCACGTTAACTGGCAGGAGGCAGCATCCAACTCATCTTCTTCCAATCACGTAGGTATGTTGCCAAAGGCGAGTGTATTCCAGAATAAGAGCGGTGGGGAACACATGTTCACAATGTTATGAACACTTACTTGTATGCTCACCCTGCATGGCTAAACTTTACACCCTCCAAACACCTCACCCCGAATCTTCAAACTTTGGGCACGGAGCTTCAAACACTTAAGCAAAGACCTAAGAGCCTTACAATCCGGAAACTCTGAAGCCACATCCTGACACCCTGTAAAGAAACACGCTGAAGCCGGAACACCCCACAGGCCTTGACCCTAAGGCCGAAAAATCCTGAACCCCAAGCCCGAGTCCTCAAGAAGCAGCCCTAAATCTGAACCGTAAGTCCTGAGATCCTTAGAATCCAAACACCCAATCCAGAGTTCTGACCCGGGAAACCGACCGGCTCCACATACTGCAGCACGGTGCCCAAGAGCTCCGAGCGATCAGCACCTTGTGCAGGAAACCCAGTTTGGACTCAATAATTTGGAATCAGGGCAGCAAGACTGCGGGAATTTGGAATTCAAGCACGGAATTTCGTTGGTCGATAGCATGATATGAGGGACCAAAA